CAGGTCTCCAGGTGCCCTCTTTCAGTTACCTCACAGGCCTCCAGGTGTCCTCTTCCTGTTACCTCACAGGCCTCCAGGTGTCTTCTTTCAGTTACCTCACAGGCCTCCAGGTGTCTTCTTTCAGTTACCCCCTCGGGCCTCCAGGTACCCGCTTCCTGTTACCTCACAGGCCTCCAGGTGCCCTCTTTGAGTTGCTTCACAGCTTATTTCCCATCACTGTGATGTGTGATGACACTTACAAAGAAGTGCCAACTAGAGACACTCTCCTGAGCATTTCAGGCCACATTTTTTATTGGGGTCACTTATTTAGTTATTGAGTGCTCATGTGACTGACTTTTCTTAGATTTCACGATTCCTGCAGATAAACTGGTACATGTCAGGGGAACAAAATGGTGTTTACCAGGAATCACATTGTTAGCATAAGCTGTAGTGTAACTCAATACTTCAGGTGTACAAAGAGTCTCTTCAGGCAACTATTTCAAGGGCTTGGGTGTTGCCTTACTTCCTGTTGTGTATTTGGAACATGCAGGGCACAGAAGTCCTACAGTCCAGCTCTGATGGGTTAACTCTTCACTGCCCAGTGAGTTTCCTCTGAGTGGCTTAAGTGGTGTGGGGGATGAAAGCCAGTTTGGGATGGATAATAAATAAAAAAGTAAAGAGCTTAAAGAATGGAGGTAAAGGTTCTTTCCTACTCTGTGGCTTCCAGGAATTGAACTCATGTTCTCAGTCTTTTCAGCAGGCACCTTTTCCCACTGAGACATCTTGCCAATCCTCAGAATAAGTTTTAAAAGTGGTGTAGTTAAAATGTTTGGGATTGAAGTGAGAGTATGACAATAGATTAATGGGGTAGATTATTTTTAGGTATAACATCTATTTGAATGTTGAGTCCTCAAAACCAAAATGACAGGAATGGGGCAGAGAGAAAGACTGGTCCTGCACCATCTGTGAATAATGTGGGAAGTTTGAAAATTCATCAAGGTAGTAGGCATTCTGAGAGGAGTGTCTTAGGGTTTCTATTGCTGTGATAAAACACCATAACTAAAAACAGGTTGGGAAGGAAAAGGTTTATTACAGCTGATAACTCTTTGATCACACTCCATCATGAGGGAAACCAGTGCAGGATCTCAAAGCAGGAACCTGGAGCCAGGAGCTGAAGCAGAAGCCATGGAGGAACATTGCTTATTGGCCTGCTCCTCAAAGCTTGTTCAGCCTCCTCAGCCTGCTTGCTTGGTTGCTTGCTTGCTTCCTTCCTTTTTATTGAAAATAATTTTTTTCATACAATATAGTCTCGTCATGGTTTCCCCTCCCACATCCCCCCTCTCATGGAGTGGTCCTTAAATCCAGTCAGGGAGTGGTTGGTTACTTCCACAGTTGTGCAACTACTGCACCAGTGTGCCATACATGAGCCTGCTTGCTTTCTTTAAAAACTTACTTATTATTTACACAAATATTCTGCCTGCAGGCCAGAAGAGGGCACCAGATCTCATTCTAGATGGTTATGAGCCACCATGTGGTTGCCAGGAATTGAGCTTAAGACCTTTGGAAGAACAGCCAGTGCTCTTAACCTCTGAGCCATTTCTCCAGCCCTCAGCCTGATTTCTTATACAACACAGGACCACCTGACCAGGCTTGGCATTGCCACAGTGGGCTGGGCTCTCCCATATTAATCATTAATCAAGAAAATGCCTCTTAGGTTTGCCTATAGACCAATCTATGGAGGCACTATTTCAACTGAAAATTATCTTCCCAGATATCTCTGGGTTTCTGTCAAGTTGCAAAAGAACCCAACCAAGACAAGGAGTTAGATAAAGAGTCACTTGTAAATAGCAATGAACAGCAGTTTGATGATCCTGATATATAAAAGAAGAAAAAAGGCTTCTGCTTGAGAGAGCTACACTGTTGGCATAAATGGGTCTGTTTTGGCTAAGAACAAATCAAAGAAAGGCAGTCTATAAAGGAGTTTGCTGCTTACAGTCGAGGACTGCCAGATGGCATAGTAAAATGTCCTGGAGAGTCTAGAGAAAGTGGATGATCATGTTGGAAGTTCTGAAAGGGGGTGAGGTATAGCTTAGGGGTAGAGTCTTTGTTGAGTAGGTCCAAGGCCCTGCTTTCTATTTTCAGTACTGTAAAAATTAAAAAGCAAACACAAAATAAACCTCAGAACAAAGTGAGGGTGATACTCAGAGTGTAACAGACAATTAAGGAAGCGTCTCTTTTGGAATAGGCCCAAGAATTGAGTTGGCATCACTGCTCTCAGAGGTAAGACTGAGATATGTTAGTGAGTAAGAGATGGGAGAATCAGGAATGGGGCAAACAGGAAACTGCGATCAGTTCTGCTAATGTCTCAGGAGAAAATTGTCCTGAGTACTTCAGAGTGTTCGTTAACTGTTTGGAAGCTTTGAATAACCAGCCTTTTCTATGCTTCCTATCATCTGGTTTTTGGCCGGGAAATTGAAGGGCAGATAGACGTTTAACACATAAGCATATGTGCACACACTCATACTCATACAAACATTTCCCCCACCAATAATACTTTATAGAATGAATATGTAAATTTCAATTTCAGACACATCTCATTTGGCTTCTGTTTTGAAGCATAGTTTTTAAAATTAATTAATATTAATTAATTCACTTTACATCCTGATCATAGCCCCTTTTCTCCTCTCCTCCCAGTACCATGCCCCTCCCTCTTCCCTCATACTCCCTCCTCTACTCCTTAGAAAAGGGCAGCTCCCCACCATCGACCCACTCCAGCTTATCAAGTCACATCAGGACTGAGTGCAAACTCTTCCTCTGTGGCCTGGGGAGGCAGCCCCACCCCTGGGGGAGTGATCAGAAAGCAGGCAACAGAGTTAATGTCAGGATAGCCTTCCCCTCCTTACTCCCCTTACTAGGAACCCACATGAAGACTGAGCTGCCCATTGGCTACCTCTGTGTAGGGGTCCTAGGTCCTGTCCTTGCTTGGTACTTGATTGGTGCTTCAGTCTTCTCAAGCCCCCTGGGCTCTGTTTAGTTGGCTCTGTTTGTCTTCTGATGGAGTTCCTGTCCCCTCTGGGTATTTCTTTCTTTCCCCCAACTCTTCCACAAGACTCCCTGTGTGCTCCACAATGTTTGGCTGTGGGTCTCTGCACCTGTTTCCATCAGCTGCTGGGTGTCGCCTCTCAGAGAACAACTATGCTAGGCTTCCATCTGTAAGCAGAGCATCATTAATAGTTTCAGGGGTTGGTTGAAGCATAGTTTAAAATAAGGTTTAAGTTTAAATATTCTAAAAATGGAAACAGTTGTTATTAGGTTATTAATCTCTTTCTAATGCATTTGTTTAGTAGTTGTAATTGGAACTTTATTATTATTATTATTGTTGTTGTTGTTGTTTACAATTATTTACTTTGTATCCTGGTTGTAGCCCCCCCTCACCTACTCCTGGTCCTACCTTCTCTCCCTCTTCCTCTCCTCTCCTTGTAACTGGAAGTTTAAATCAAAGTGTTGTTCCTTATGTCAGCATGATCTTTTGAATCATTGTAGGTTAAGAAAAGAAAGAGATGAAGAACGTGTGAAAAATTTTGTGCAAGAAGAGGCTGTCAGATTCCTTTGGAACGAGGTAAATCCTCTACTGCTGATTCCTCTAGTTTATGTGAACAAAGAAAATTTCTAGTCAGTGGCATCAAAGTAATTTTTTTAAAACGTTTTATTGATTCTTTGTGAGTTTCACATCATGTACCCCAGTCCCACTCATCTCACTGTCCTCTCTTATCTCTCTCTGTTTCTCTCCTCCCCCCCAAAAGAAACACAAGCAAACAATCAAAAAACCAAATCAAAACAAGGCATAGAAAACATCTTGTCAAGGTAGCTATAGTATGTCACAGTATGTCCTACAGTTTACCCCTCTGTCCATGCATCTTCACTTGCAAATGTTCATTGTAATGAATCATTGGTCTGGTTTGAGTTCTCTGGCTTCTGTGACACCATCAGTATTGCATCCTCACGGGGACTCCTGGTTATCCTATTGTTGTCCTGTGTCATGGAGATCCTGCTGCTTTGGATCAGCAAGACTGGCCCTTTCACATGCCCCAACAGTTCACAGATGATGTAGATTTTGGGGTGGGCCAACTCAAAGCCCTGGAGCTGGGCCTAGGTGGTAGTTGGGCTGGTCATCAGACAGTTTTCCTGTAACCGAACCATCATGATGAACTCTCCAGTACTGCTCTGGTCAGGCCACCCAATAATGCCATTGGCAGGAGGCAGGGTTAGCTCTCCTGCTCTTATGCCCTCAGGCTGGCTCAACTGCACCCATGCCTTTAGAGCCAGCTCCACTGAGGATGACCTTGAGCTCCTAATCCTCCCGCCTGCCTCTCATAAGTGCCACCACGACTGACTTAGGTAGTGCTGGGACTCGAAACCATGGCCTCGTGCCTGCTAGTCCAGCTGCATCCCTAGCTCTGTGGTCACTTTCTTGCTTGCAATTAAAAAAAAGGGGGGGTATGTGTGTGTGTGCCCTATGTGTGAGGTGTCCTTGGGCCAGAGGTGGTGGAAGCCTTGGACTTGGAGTTACAGACAAGGGTGATGTGCTGTGTGAGTGCTGGGAACTGAACTCCAGCCCTCTGCAAGAATAGAAATGTTCTTAATGGCGGAGCCATCTCTCCCACCCTTTGTCTTTTTTGTTTGTTTTGCTTTTTTGAGACAGGGTTTCTCTGTGAAGCCCTGGCTGTCTTGGAACTTACTCTGTAGACTAGGCTGGCCTTGAACTCAAAGAGTTCTTCTAAATTCTGCCTTCTAAATTCTGGGAATAAAGGCGTACACCATCGCTCAGCAGTTTGAATGTTTTATAGTAAAAAGGTGAAATTATTTTTATATTTTAGAGACATAAAAGGTCATATTTTGAAGAACTTAGGATATTTTTTAGTCATTTTAGAAAGTTATAAATACTACAATTTAAAATAATTGGAAATCCTACGTCGGCATGTATATTTAAAATAGACATTTTAGAGGCTACACAAGGGCTAATCGGCTCTTATGTCCGTCCGTATTTTGTGCGTTATCAGCCCCATGGTTGGTGAGAAAGATGCTGTTGTGCTTCTCCAGTGAAGCGAGAGAACTGCTCTGGTCTCCTCCCAGTGCTGGGGACTGCCCTTTGCTACCAAGGACACAGAACTGTGGCTCCGGATTAGGCTGGGAGTCAGCCTGGGAAGAGCATAGGGCAGTAATGAATGAAGGCAACTGCATGACTTCTGGGGAAAAACGCTCAGGACATTTTTTTAAAGGCGCGATTTTTTTAAAAATTGTATTTTATAACAAAGCTGTATCTGCTGGTTTACAGGTAAGATCTCTACAAGGTTGGCAACAGACAGTGGAACAGCGTCTAATTTCCTGGCAGACTGATGTTCCTCCTATATCAAGTACTCTGGTGTCGCCTAAACCACCATTATTTCCACAGCGTCAGGACCCGTCTTCCGATCAGAGTTTGGATTGGTTCATTGCTGAGGATGAAGCTCCTCAAGAGAAATCCGCGTCAGAATTTCCAGACTCTGGGTTTCACTCTTCCCTGACGCAAGCTCGCTGTTTGCAGGATTCTTTGGATTTTGAAAAAAGTTTCGTAGAAAGCAGCGAAAGCTCCATGTTGGGGAATTCCACTGACACGGTGAAATGCGGCAAAGACCCCGACTTGGAGGCCACGACTGAGGAGCACAGTGACTGTAGTAAGGAAAGCTCGAACAACGAGCAGGACAACACCCTGCTGGAGCAGTATTTAACCTCAGTCCAGCAGCTGGATGATGCTGACGAGAGGACAGATTCTGACGAGGTGGCAGGAGACAGGAAGTGTCATGAAGCCTGTTCTCCAGACAGGTTAGACGCCTCGTCTGACAGCGAGACTCATAGAGAATCTCCTGCTTTACAGGGTGAGATCAGCCAGACACCAGAGAGTTGTAAACTAAACGAAGAGGCTCAAGAGCAGCAGCCGGAATGTGATGCTGTGTTTCAGGTGTTGCCTGTGGGTGTCGTTGTGTAGCCTGTCTCATCAATTAGGAAGCAGAAATTCACTTTGTTTTCAGTTGCTTTTTTTCTTTTGGAGGGGAACAATTCTTCCTCCATTTTGTTGTTCTTCATATACAACTTGTATTCTTGTCCCATACTTTCCAGGTATGAGATACTGAGCTACATCTTCATTTTGATTGTACTAATGAACTAAATAATATTGACATTAAAAGGCATATGCACTTTATTTCTTAATAATTACACCAATAATGTTTCTTTTACATACGTATTTCCTTACAAAAATAGTTTTTTGAAGTAGTTTGGTGATTTAAATAGGGGAATTTAATTTTTAATTATGTAGTAAGGATTATAATATGTAAGGCATGACTAGGATGAGGATTATGAACAACTGAATCTGTTGGACAGTCTTGTTGTTCTAACACGTTTTCCCCCCTTCTGCATTAAGGAAAGCCTTCTTAAATAAGAAAATTTAGGGCAAAAAAGTTTATAGGAGTGTGTGTTTGTATGTGTGTGTGTATGTGTGTGTGTTGTGACAGTTAAACCCAGAGCCTTGAGAATGCTCTGCCACTGAGCTGTCAACCACCTAACTCTAGATTATAAGATTTTTAAGTGGGGTGATTAAACTGCCTCATGACAAACTTAAGCTAATTTGTGGATCAGTTTTGAAGTAAAGTATTCCATTACAGGATTAAAATCAAGCTAACTAAGGCAAAAATATTTCTTTTTGATATGGAGAAAGGAGACGTGATACTTATTCACTTGAAATAATGCTGCTCAAATGTCTGTCTTTTCATTATTTTTTTTTTAGCATACAGTATTTATGTGCCAATATTATGGGAAGAAATATATTGTAAGAAATCAGTAGGCATTCATCTTTATGTTCTTTCTTTTATTTCTATATATACTTCACCAGAAGGGCCAAAGCTATTCATTTCATTCTCTCTCTCCCTCTCTCTCTAACACACACTCACACCTACACACCTACACACACACAAAGAGAAGGGGTGGGGGAGAACCAAATCTAGGACCTTGTGCTTGCTAGGTAAGTGCTATATCACTGCAGTGTATCTCAGTCCTTATTGCCTTCTTGACTTTCGTCTCATAATAAAGAACATTTAAAATCCTTCCATTGATAAACTAGCTTTTTTTTTTTTTTAAAGATTTTTAAATTAATCTCTCTCTGAAAAGTGCCACATTGGAAGGACAATTCAATGGTGGTTAAGAAAAAAATAAAATAGGCTGGGCCTGGTGCTACATGCCAGCACTTGGGAGGCAGAATTAGGGAGAGCTCTGAGTTCAAGGACAACCTGGTCTACATAGTGAGTTCCAGATCAGCTAGGGCTACATGTGAGACCCTACCTCAAAACAAACAAAAATACCCAACAACAAAACAATAAAAACAGCAAAAACAAACAACTAAAAAAATGATTTCAGGAATAATAATGTTATGTTTAAATGTTGAAGGTACAACTGTCAATCAAAGGTGACATTTAGGAGCTTGGCATTATATCTTTTAGAATGTTATGATATCATTAAATAGCACAGATATGATTTTTCCAACTGTAGACAAGCACCTGTTTACAATTCTGGCAATACTTCTGTTCTCTAAACTTAGGTGCTAAATATCATCCATTATTTTGTTAAAGTCATTAGAATCCCTTAACTAAAAGTATATAAAATAAAAATTCGGGGCCTTTCAAAATAAAATTGAAGACCACAGGGTGTTCTTAGCTGAGAGGAACATTCTAAATTATGGTGAGCTATATTTGCCTAGTTTATAAGTAAGTAGCACTCAAGTTGAGAAGGCTTGCATTTCATTCTCAGAAATCTAAAATCCCTCAAAATAGGACATGTTTTCTGTGTTTTATAAACAGAACAACGGTCTTGTCTTCAAAATATTTTCTTTAGGTGTAACATTGAATGCATGGTGGATAGAAACTGAAAGTGTAACCTTCTGAATAATAACCACCTTTTCTGATTTTGCATTTCTCTTAAAATATTTAATTCGTATGTGTGTATTTGGTGTGTTTGTGTATATGTGTGTTTATGTGTGAGTGTAAGTGTGAGAGTATGTATATGTGAGAGAGTGTGTGAGAGTGTGTATTTGTGTGTATATCTGTGTAAGAGTGTGTGTTTGTGTATATGTGAGAGTATTTGTATGCATGCATGAGAGTGTGTGTGTATATGTGTGAGAGTTTGTGTGTGTATATGTATGTGTGAGAGTATTTATGTGTGTGTGTATGTGTGCCTGCTGGAGGAAGCCAGAAGTAGGTGTCAGCTCCCTTGAACCTGGAGTTACAGGTGTTTGTGATCTGTCCTTCAGCCCTCTTTTTCATTTCTTTTTCAATATGAGATAAGACATTTTCTTATTTTTCTATTTCTGCAGTTAAGTGCCTCATTTACTACCTGAAGTTAAAGAAAAACCGTTTCTTGATGCAAGTACCAAAACTGCTTCACTGCATGTTAATTTTAGGAAAAGTGGCTGAAATGTTTGGTTGAGTTTCCCTGAGTATGGTTCTGGTAGCTTATTCAAGATTTATTTATTCATAATGTATACAATGCTCTGTCTGCATGTACACCTGCAGGCCAGAAGAGGGCATCAGATCTCATTATAGATGGCTGTGAGCCACCATGTGGTTGCTGGGAATTAAACTCAGGACCTCTGGAAGAGCAGTCAGTGCTCTTAACCTCTTAGCCATCTCTCTAGCTGCCTCTTCATCTTTTTTAAAGTGATGGCAGATACAGCCATTTGATCAACATTGTCAGTAGAATTTATTGTTCTGTTACTCATTTTTCTAGTCTGAAAAATGGCATTCAACATATTTTTATTAAAAACTTGGCAGAATATGATAATTACTAATATTCTGCTTTTTTTTTTTACTACATTTTACAAGGATGAGAATATGAAGTAGCCTGCTTTGAGCTGTAGAGTATCTTGAATGTAGTTGAAAATACCGTATATCAGAATGTAGAAAAACTAAGGCATTGTTTATATAATTTAAAGGTAATTTATGTAACTAAGGAATAGTACTTTATGTGACTGGTTATTTATTAGTTTGGTTGGAGAGGGCACAGACCAAGGAGTCTGGGGAGTTGAGCTTTGAACCTGGGCTTTTTTGACAGGAGAGATTTTGTTTAGTTGTGTTATTTTGACTTATAAATTTCTTTAATTATGGAATATTTGATTATCAGTTGGAATTATTGCAGAAGCATAAACTCATACTATGTAGCTGGGTAGTGGTAACAGGGTCAGTGGTGGTGGCAGAGGCGGTAGCAGCTCACGCCCTTAATCCCAGCACTCTTGGAAGGCAGAGGCAGGCAGATCTCTGAGTTGGAAGAAAGCCTGGTCTACAGAGTGAGTTCCAGGACAGCCAGGGCTACAGAGAGAGACCCTGTCTCAAAAAAACAAAATCAAAACCAAAAACAACCCCTCCAAACCCAAAAGCTCAAAAACCCTCATACCATCTGAGAATCAGAAGGAATCTTAAGATTATTTATTGCTATTATTATTGTAATTATTATTATTGCTATATTATTACTGTTATTATTATAATATAATCCAAATGAGGTGCTGGTCTCACATCAGGAATTGACTCCTTCATTTTGGAGAAGAAACAGCAACCCAGGGATGATAACCACTTGTCTAAGGTTATAGTCGGTAGTAAACTGTGAAAACATGTTTCTATATTTCAATCTTTCCTTATACCTTTTCTGTTAATATTTACTTTTAGTGAGTAAGGAAGTCTCTGCATTTTAAAGAGTTTCCTTTAAGAGAGGAAGCTTTTAAGCTTTTAAGAGAGGGCCTTTAAGCCGGGAGTGGTGCATGCCTGTAATTGCAGCACTCTGGGAGGCAGAGGCAGAAGCAGGTGGATCTCTGTGAGTTCAAGGCCAGCCTGGTCTACAAAGCAAGTCCAGGACATCTAAGGCTACACAGAGAAACCCTGTCTTGGGAGAGAGAGAGAAAGAAAGAGAGAGAGAAGAGGGCCTTTAATGGCAGAGTTGTAGCAAAGAGCTAAAAGTTTCAGAACCTTGAATGAATGTTCTCCAAAAACAAGTGTGACTTCCTTAAAATTGTTTGTAAAGAGCAATAATAGCAGCAGGGAATGGTGGTGAACACTTTTCTTTTTTCTTTTCTTTTCTTTTTTTAATAGGATTTCTCTAGGATTTCCAGGACAGCCAGAGCTGTCCTGGAACTCACTTCGTAGACCAGGCTGGTCTTGAACTCAGAGATCTGCCTGCCTTTTCCTCCTGAGTGCTGGGATTAAAGGTGTGTGCCACCACAACCCATTGGTGGTACACACTTGTAATCATGGCATTAGGGCATGGAGGTAGGAGGATTGGGAGTTCAAGGCCACTTGTAGCTGCATAGTGAGATTCAGGCCAGCCTGGGCCACCTGGGACTCTGTCTCCAAAAGCAGAAATAGTAAAGCTAAAACTTTAGGAAGGAATCGCTGTGTCTTAATCATGTATTTGAAGACAGGTAGTGTTACAGATTGCCAAAGTAGATAAAATTTTCTCAAGAAATAGTTTGATGTTTCATCTTGCCTTTTATAGAAGAACAGATGGTAAGAATTTTACTTTCCTGGTGTGAGAAAGGTCTAATGAGAGGTGATGATATTTAGGTAGTTTACTCATATATGTCTAACTATAAAAGGACACCATAATATGCATGCTTTAGAAAATGTTTGGCTACATAGTCATTTATTTGTAAATAACTTTGTTCTTTATTATATGAGTGCCATTCTTGAGTGTATGTTTTTCCTAGATTTGTTTTAGGTTATTTTAAATATACAAGCATTGTAATAGTGTATCTTCCTATTAGCTATTTAGGACAAGTATAGTTCTGCTTTTTACAAATACTTTCAGGAATGTACAGGCTTTAAATATTATACGATCTCTCCTGGTAACTTTTTTATGTAGGATATTAAGATTGGATTTATAACAATAACATATTTTTTTCCTGAAGTGTAGGAAGGGGAAATACAGTCGTTGGATTAGTTCGCATTCATTAAGAAAAAGTCTTGGTTATATGGTTGTTTAATGTTCTTACTTTGCCACATCTGTGTTAAAGGGGGTTTATTGTAGTTATGCTTTTAACTTTAAATACATAGTACTTTTATTTATTTATATTTATTTTTATTTTGTTGTTTTTGATACAGGGTCCCTCTATAAAGCTTTTGCTGTCCTGGAACTCACAGAGATCTGCTTGCCTCTGTCTCCTGGGTGCTGGGATCAAAAGCATTTGCCACCATGCCCAGTCATAGTACCCTTATTCTTGAAGTGAGGTAGAAGTAGTTCGTAAGAAACATTTCAAATTTTTTATTTTTTTGAGGTTGGCGGCGGTGGGTGGGGGGTGGGGGGTGTATCTCACTATGTTGCCTAGGCTGGTCTTGAACTTCTAGCCTCAAATGATCCTCTTGTCTCAGCCTCCAGAGTAGTTGGGAGTATAGGCATAAAAACATTTATATTCTAAATTTTAGTGATAAAGTCTAGTGTGCCATATTAAAAATAAAAATCAAGTAAATGAGGCGGTTCTCATAGCCTTGGAGAGAAATTGATCACTGTCTTTTTAGGATGAGGTGCTTCTAATCTGCAAATGGGTAGAAATCACACTGAATTTTAATTCTTTTATTGGTTTTAGTGGGTAGAAGGAATCACTCCTCAGAGTGGCTTTGCTAATAGATTTCTTTGGATGTTTTTGTAATATTTCTCTCTCTCTGTGTGTATATCTAGTGCTGGCATGTGAGGCAGGCACTGTGCCCTGAACAACACTGTAGCTGTATGTTTCAAAATAGCGTGAAGGTTGGCAATAAGATTTTCAATTTTTTTTTATTTATTACAATTTATTCACTTTGTATCCCAGCTATAGCTTATCCCTTATCCCCTCCCAATCCCACCCTCCCTCCCTCATCTCCTCCCATGCCCCTCTCCAAGTCTACTGATAGGAGAGGTCCTCCTCCCCTTCTATCTGACCCTAGTCTATCAGGTCCCATCAGGACTGGCTGCTTCATCTTCCTCTGTGGCCTGGTAAGGCTGCCTCTCCCCACCAGGGGGAGGTGCTGAAAGAGCCAGCCACTGAGTTCATGTTAGAGATAGCCCCTGTTCCCATTAGTAGGGAACCCAGGCAATAAGATTTTTAAAGTAACTTCATTTTGTACTAGTTCTCGATTTTTTTTTAATGTTACTATAAATAGTGTAAGACTTAAGGTGGCTGGAATCTGTTTTATGAAGGCTTGCTATTTTATATTGTTCTCTTTGATTTATATTTGAGTCTGTCTAATTTTAAATAAAAGCTTTATACATTTGGGTGTGGCCTCTGGTTATTTCTGTGGTCAGTAGTCATGGTTATTATTCACTGTGCTCTCAGGTAGGTGAAGTTAAGAACATTTTTACTTCAGAAAGTTCAGTGTTGGCATCGTATAAAAAAGCACGAGAATCATTTCCAAAGCACTGCTCTTTATCCTCAAAAGAAGCATGGGGCTTTTATCCGAGGGGCCTCAACATATTCTTTTGAGGATGAGTCTATTGGGAAGCATGCTATTTGCTTTGTAGACCAGGCTGGCCTTGAACTCATAAAGATGCACCCACCTCTGCCTCCCCAGTGCTGGGATCAAAGGTATGCGCTACCACACCTGGCTACAGACACATTATTTTAGCTCTAGGCCATGTTGAAATGATGGACAGAAATGCCTCTGGGCATGATCAGCTTGTATTATAACGTTTTATAAATAACTTTTGGATGATGTTTTTACTGCTTTCTCCTTTACAGATACGTTTTTATTTTATGTTACCATGGGTGTTGAGTTTGCCTGCGTGTCTGTGCACCATGTTTGTGTAGGGCAGGAGAGGCTATTGGATCTTTTGCAACTGGAGTTACTTATAGTGTGAAACCCTGTGCAGGTGCTGGGACCCTACTCGGGTCCTCTGCTAGAGCAAGTGCTTATAACCGCTGAGTCATCTCTCCAGTTCTGCACCAAAAAGCTTTAGCCGAAAATAAAGGAATGGATACACCGAAGGTGTATTCACACAGGCTCTTGCCCCTGAAGGTGCATGCCTTTCATAGTCACTAACAGATATCCTTGGCTGGTGATCCTTGATCCTTTCTGCACCCAGCACATGATGCTTATGCTTAAGTGATCATGACAGGCTATGCCTGAAACCCCATACTCTTTTTTTTTTTTAAACCTTTTTATCTATTCTTTGTGAATTTTACATCTTGGACTCCTATCCCACTCATCTCCTTGTACCTTCATATCTGCCTCTACCCTTGCAGCCTCCTCTTCAAAAGATAACAAAAAAGGAAACATGCAAAACCTCGATGTGAGAGCTGTAGTGTATCACAGTGTGTCCCACAATGTACCCTTCTGTCCACATTTTTTATTTGAAAATGTTGACTGTAGTCACTGGTTTGGTTCCAGGCCTCTGGCCTCTGCTACACTATCAATATTGGTTCCTCACTGGGATTCCTCTCTGATAGTATCCTGAGTCAGGGAGATTCTGCAGCTTTGGATCAGCAGGACCATCCTCTCCACTTGCTTCAGCAGTTCACAGATAGGGTAGATAGCTGCTAACTGTGGGTAGGCCCTGGATCTGGGCCTTCATAGTAGCTGAGGTGGTCTGCCGTCCACCACTACTTCATCTGTACCATCAGGGTCAGCTCTCCGGCCTGCTGCAAGTGGTTAGGGTCTGGGCCAGCTCTCTTCAGCCGTTGGACATCAACATGGTCCCAAGTGGCAGACCAAACTAATGACATCCATATGGCCTTTGGTGTCAACATGGGCCATGGACATCGACATAGACCCCTGCTGCTGCACGGCCATAGACGTAGACTGTAACATAGGTAGTTACATAGACTAGGACTTTACCGTGGCCTCAGATGGCATTGCTGCCTACTCGCATCAGGCTATTCCTCTCCACTGTCATGTCTCCAGATCTGCCTCTCTTCATATCTTCATAGTGCACAAATTGTTCCTCTTCTATCACTCCCATCTCTCCACCACATACTTGGACACTGTAGCAGCCCTGCAGAGGGCAGGCCACACAGGTGTGCCTTTTTCTTCTTCTTCTTCTTTTTTTTTTTTTTTTTTTTTTGAGACAGGGTCTCACTGTGAAGCTCTGAAGCTCTGGCTGTCCTAGAACTCACTATGTAGACCAGGCTGGTCTCAAACTCACAGAGATCCACTTGCCTCTGCCTCTCAAGAACTGGGACTAAGGGTGTGAACCACTATGCCCAGCTGACCCCATACTCTTGAGCTGTGGTGGGTGGCCTGGTCTCAGAAGGTAGCCCAACAGAGGCAAGTACCCAGTGTCAGGCCAGCCACAACTTTCATGCTGTGGAAGAGTGGCAGGCTTACCTGGCAGCTGAAGAAGCAGCGGGACAGCTGAAGAGCCCCTCTGGGCAGGAGGAACTGGAAGGAGAGAAAATCTGAACCAAAAGCTGATAAAAGGCTCTAAGGAACCAGAGAAGAGAAAATGCTAGCCCTGGTCTATAGAACCAAAGATCTACCAAATCCTCAGGCTTCCGATGGTGTCAAGGGTAAGGGTACGATCAAAGCCTACATAGGAACTGTAACACTAGTAGGGTTCTGATACTCAAGGCCTAGACAGAGACTGACAATAGAGGGTGCCACTTACTGCTACTCACTGCGCCCCAGTGCATGGCCGAGGAAATGGATACATCATCAGCCAGCTGATGGTGACAATGGGGATGGAGCCTTGAGCCTTGTGCATACCAGACAAGGATTCTACCACTCACTTAGTCCCTAGCCTCAGAATCTATACTTTTTTGTTTTGCTTTTCAAGACAGGGCTTCTCTGTGGCTGTCCTGGAACTTGCTCTGTAGACCGGACTGGCCTTGAATTCAGAGATCCGCCTACCTCTACTGCCTGGCAGAATCTGTACATTTTCAATGTAAACTCTTATTAATCTTTGCAGAACTCCGTGCAATGCGTTTTGACCACTTTCACCCTCAACTCCTCTGCCATCTGCCCACAACTCCCTTCACTAACTTTGTGCTCTCATTACTATTATTTTAAACATACCCACTTAGTCCAATTTGAGCTGCTCAATACTCACAAGTGTGGGACCATCGTTGACCTACCAGGGCCCACACCATTAAAGAACACAGTGTCTCCTTTCCCCAGAAGCCTCCAGCAGCTCTTCAGTTAACAGGGGTACATACGAACCCCTCCTCCTGCCATGCTAGAACGTTTGCTGCTCCCATTTTGTTCAGGTCTTGTGCAGGCAATCCCAGGTGCTCTGAGTTCATGAGCGCAGTGGTCTGATCACGACCTGAAGACAATTGTTTTTCTTCAGTCCTTGCTGCCCTCAGGCGCTTATAGCACCGCAGTCAATAAATATAAAGATAATCGATGTTAGTTGTAACTTATATTAATTCTTCTTCAACCTGGAGACACAGTCTGAAGGCAGGTGTTTATTTTATTTAATTTTTTATTTTGCCCAACATTTTTGCTCAGCTTCAAAGACTATCCCCCACTGTGCTCCATGCTCTGTGTAGAGCCTGGGATATCTTCTGTCCCACACAGGTCCTTCTATTCTCTAGGGATTCCTCTCAGCTCCTCAGAGTCGCCAAACTGCTTCTGACATTCCTTCTGTTAAAACGGATAGAATATTCTGGCTCTTTTGCCAAGAGACTAACTTCAAAGCAAGAAGCTTCAAGACTCTGCCATCTCCAGCAACCAGGAACCAGGAACCAGCAGTTCCTTCACTGCAGGGCCAGCGTCGTGGTTAAGAGTTTTCAGACAGAAAATCCCGCTGAAGGATGCTCCTGGGAAACGCTGATGTCCGAAAGCCATCAGTTTTTGGGTCCAGAGGGGACCAGCTTCGGGCCAGGGTGCGAGAGGTGCACAGTCACCCGAGTACAGGAGCCCTACGGCTGCGGGGAGTACGCAGTGCTAACTCCTTGTCGCCTCCGGGCGGGCACAACGCCCTGCTTGCGTGGCTGTCAGTCAACATCCCCGCCCCGCCCCGCCCATAGTCGGACCAATCGTAGCCGGGGGTCGGGGGTGAGGCGCCGGAGCGGGGTCAGGAAGCCGGAGAAAGAACGGCCTGGCGCGGAGGCCAGCAATCGGAGCGTCCACATCCCGCGGGAGGGCGAGCAGCGGGTGAGACCGGAGACCCGGTGAGTGCGAGGCGCGACTGTGCGCGGGGCGGGGCGGAGCCTGTCCCGGGAGCGCGGGGTGCAGCGCGCCTCGCGCGCCCCTCGGCTGCCGACCCCTGGGTTCCGCCTGCCCACCCCGCATCCCTGGCGTCCCCGGCCCGGTGTGGGGACTTGCGGGCCCTTGAGTCCTGATTGTGTGCGGGGGGCCTGGGAGTGGATGCCCCGCCCGAAGACGCAGGCAGAGCTCCAGCCTTGGGCTGCAGCAGCCTGGGACCGGAGGATCCCAGCCGCTGCAGAGATGGGGCGGGGCGGGGCTGGGCATCTCCACCCTCAGTTTCTCCACTTGCTGCAACGCCGCTGCCCCGGGTAGAGGGCACCTGGATTCAGTGACCGGCGCCCGAGAACGCAGCCAGGCCCCTGTACCCCTTCTTTCAACCCATACCATCCTTCCTTCCCTACACCCAGTGAAGAGAGCTTGGCGACGGTTTTCCCATCGCCGCTCTGTGCCCCAGCCGCCTTTTGGCAGGCTGTCCTGTCATACTTTGGACTACTCTGGCCTTACTGAGCTGCAGTTTTGAAGGCATCGGGGCAGTCACGAAACGAGCGTGTGACAAGACTCAGTATGATGTTGAGATCGTGTAGTCCATATCTGCTTGACCCAAGTTAGTAAGACAGTGGTGCTAAGAGAGGTTACAAGGCAGGATTTGGCAAAACGAAATTGAAATTGTAACCCCCGCCCCCTCTTGCTTTTCATCATTTACTTCGAAGGAAGATTTTCCAACTAACACTGCCCTGATGGTCGTGTTCTCTTCCTGCTGCCATTTGTCATTTGGAACATTAGGGTGTCTTTGAGGCTGGCAGAGTACCTGGACCCTCAAGATTGTCTGATTTCTCTCAGGGGAATGGCACACCATACTTAACCTAACTCTGCAGTGTTGGGCCTGTTATGCCTAGATCATGAGACCCCTCCCCCCCAATAGACCACCAGGGATATGAGTCCGATGTAAAACACACAGGGTCTTTATTCCAGCTCAAGCGTGTGTCGCAATCCCACCTGGCACAGCAGGTTGGGAGAGCAGCCACCAGCTCCAAGGGAACAGGGTTTTTAAAGGAAAAATCTCAAGCAGGGGCTTCCAAAACTTACATGATTGGACAAAACGTAAAGGAATGAAATGCACCCTGACTTAGTTGATTAACAGCACCTGGCCAAACCACAGAGAGGAACAGCTTGCCAAGAGGAACACTGCGACCCTGGGAACAACTTATGTTTTCTTAACTGACCCTGTCTTTATCGGTCTGCCTCAGTTGCTGTGTCTCACTGCAGGCGGCTGCAGAGAACATTCTGTGTTTTTTTTTTTTTTTTTTTTTTTTCAGAGCTTAAGGGTGGGAACCAAGGTACTCCAGGGACAAGCTAACCTTGGATGGAGTCTGAGAAACAACATAGAGTTAGTTCCACTAACCCTTTCATTCCTCCCCACCTTGTAACTATGGAGGCCAGTCTTGGACTGCTTAGAGATCTGATAATTGGGTATCAAGTTGTTGATACTGGGACCTCATTACCATTAACCGAATAGCTCCCAACTTCTGTCTAACAAAGGCAATCAAACTATTCAGTGTGCAGGGGCCGAGGTTAAGCACAAGAGACAATATCAGCAAGGGTCTGTTAAGGCAGAGAACAAAGCAGTAAAGCAAGGGAAAGCATTAAACCAAGATTCAAACCAGCTTTGGTTTGCTTTGTACTCTTTTTCACAGTTAGTCAGGTTTTCTCTAAACTTAGCCAAGAGAACTGTTATACCAGGATTTAAACCATCCTCTGGAATCCTATCTTTCCAGCCTCTCTCTAGGCTTTTTGTTATTTTTGCTAAGGATTTTCCAATCATTCCTGAGTGGTTTATATAAAAACAATATTCCTCTCTAAGGACTGCACACAGCCCATCCTGTTGTAAAGACAACAGATCCAAGCCCCTTCTGTTCTGTTATTTCTGTCAGGGAATCAATATTTTTTTTCTAAATGGGTGGTTGAGTTCTCAAGGCATTGAATATCTGCCTTTTAGCTGTTATAATTCTGGCTTTGTACATCCAGTACTGCAATACCAGTTCCTGTTCTAGCTAAGCAGGTCTCCAAGATAATAGCTAATGTCAGGGAGTCCCTTTTAACTTAGCATTTCAGCCTGTTGGGTAGGATAGAGGTCGATGAATCTCTCCTGTAATTTCCTCAGGTTGATATTGGGGTGGAGATATTTATATTGGAGACCTAGGAAGGCTGAAAGGCTAGTCAAAGGCTAGGCAACAGGGCACCATCTAATTAGTGATCCAGTTGAAGAGATGGAGCCATCACATCAGCTGGACTGGTTTACTTCAGATTTCAGCAAGTCCAGATCTCAGCTTGCAGTCCATAGCTGATCCCCGAATGGAGTCTGTCAGCCACCTACAAATCTGCTGAGACAAATTCAGACCAGAGACAGAAGTTAAAATTCGTCTAGTAATTAGGGAAAGTGAGGAATCCCAAGACCAAGGGAATAACTCATCTGAAGTTCGTTTGAGCTATGGCAGATCCAGGTCTTCTGACTTTTTGATTTCCTGAAACTCAGATGAATTTTAGTTTACAAAAGGAAGTGTACTAGTATCACCATTGTATTGAGATCCATACTTTAGAAAAAGCAGGTAACAGGTGTCTACAAGACAGCAGAAGACTCAAGCCATTAAGATCTAGTAAAAACTATGGTTTTTAGGTCAGAGATATACACATTAGAGAAATGTTTTTAGCATGATGAGAAGCACCTTTAAGTCTATCTCCAGAGGACAACCAAAGGGAAATTAAAATCTCAAGCTAGTGACTGGATAATAAGCAGTCGGTGATCTGTCAGCTTATCAGAACTCTATTGGAGGCATCAGGGCAGTCATTCAGGGAGAAACGAGCGTGTGACAGGACTCAGTGTGATGTTGAGATCTTGTAGTCCATATCTGCTTGACCCAAGTTAATAAGACAGTGGTGCTAAGAGAGGTTACAAGGCAGGATTTCGTAAAACGAAATTGAAATTGTAACCCCCTCCTTGCTTTTCATCATTTACTTTGAAGGAAGATTATTGCCATATTTCCAACTTATACTGCCCTGATGGTCATGTTCAAAACTCTCAACTTCTGAAATCTTATAACTAAATATAAGCACAACAAAACAATAGCAGAGAGAGAGATCTGAAATATCTCCCATTTTTAATCTGTCTTAAATTATTTTTCTATCATTATAATTTACATTCATATTAAAACATCTATTTAGACCTAGATCCTTCAATCTTTCTTGCATTTATCAACTTTGAAATATTTTCCTAGACCCTCAATTTTTTAGATCCTCATAACTTAACTTTTATATCCTCAGACCCTATATAAATTGTACATCTTTCTATCTGATTATTTGCCATAAGACACAGGCAATGAACATGAAGCCTGTGAGCAAGGCAAACCTCTTTGCCTTTCTGAGTGAGAGATCTAGTATCTAGTAGTCCTAACTAGCTATTAAATTGACCAATGAACCAACAGTGGATCTAATTGTTTGCTCTTTAGCTGCAAAGCTACCATTAGCTTAGCTTAGACATCAATGTGATCAGAGACCTGAGAAGGATAAATTATAAACTAATTAAATGTGCCAATCTATGTACCAATAAAAATGACAGAGATAACTAGTCAGTCCACCACCTAGGCAGCTGTCTCTGGCTCCTGTGGTCTCATGGCATCATGAGCAGAGGTGGTCTGGCCATCAGGCACAGAAGGTGAGAGACTGTTTCTATGGAACAAAGAACGTGAGAGATTGGCCTCACCTCTCCTTCAGCAACGTGTAACAATGACTTTCCAGGTTTTCACAGCTCTGTCCACAGTTTAGGCTGGGCCCTAGAGGTGGGTCAGTTAAGGCAGTCTTGCCCAGTGGTTAGTATACCTCAATCCAGAGTTGAAGTCATCTGTTGTGCCCAATTCTTCTTGGAGACCTTGGAGAGCTACTGCCAGGATTTTGGGACTCTCTGTCATAATAAGCTTACACATGTTAAAATGGTTAAAATGCTATATATTCCACAGATCTCCGACAAGCTTGAGGGCCAGCATATGAGTTACTCGTTGTCAATCCTTAGTTATCTACTCTAAATTACATCCTGTAAAACAGAATGCCATAATCTCTAATTCTGGCATATTTCTTAGATAAGTATTTTAGAACCATATCCATTTTAAGTATTTCTTTTATTTTTAGAACATTGGTGTTCTGACTGTGTATGTCTGTCTGAGGATGCTGGATCTCCTGGAACAGGAGCTACAGAAAGGTGTGAGCTGCCATTGAAAATTGACCCTTGTTCCTCTGGAAAAGCAGCCCATGCTCTTAACTGTGGAGCCATCTCTTCAGCCCCAAGACAGCAGCTTTTTTTTTTTTTTAAGATTTATTTATTTACTATATATATAGATCTCATTCTAGATGGTTGTGAACCACCATGTGGTTGCTGGGAATTGAACTCAGGACCTTTGGAACAGCAGCCAGTGCTCTTAACCTCTGAGCCATCTCTCCAGCCCCTTAAGTAATTCTTACATAAACAAACTTTGTAGTTACCCATCCTAGGTTTAAACCTTGAAAACATAAACAAGAGACTACTGTAACCAACTGAAGTCATTAGCATAACTTTAATTGTATTTCTAAACTAAAGGAGAAGCAAAACTTTCAATCAGATATAGTTCATAGAGGGGTTAGCAAATCTTGCTGGTCCTACCACATTGCATTAAGACTGAACAGCAAAAAGCTTAAAGGACAAAAGTTTCACTCAGTACTAAACAGAGAACTAAACACAGCTGGCAGTCTTCAGCAAAGATAGACTATTCTGGCCACAGCAAATCTATAGGCCAGAAAGAAACAGCATCAAATCATACATATAGGAATTGGCAGCCAGGCACATATTTTATATAATGGTTAACAATGACTTGAATATAACCCTATATAACCCTGGGCTAACATGGAGCTGCAGTCCTCTTCCCCCTTTAAAGAGCATAAGCAAACATTTTGCATTGAAGAATCACCAGCCTTTTAAATGAAGAACAGCATATTTTACAGTTCTTTCTCAAATCATATTTGCAGGTATGAGAAACCAAAGCAAATACAGTTCATATGCCCTCTGGCTTTCTAGTCATACTCTGCCTTCCATGATATTCTATATACCTTCAGGTTAGGCTTTTCCTAGCTCTGTTCTGATTTAACCAGACATTCTTTCCTTTTTTTTTTCTATCCCACTCTCTTGCTTTCCAGACAACATAAAAACTTCCATCAAAATCCTTTTTATCATTTCTTTACTAAGTCATTCCATGGGTTTTTATTATCCTGACATGATACATTGCAAAAACTGCAGTTTTCTTAGTTGGCTCAAATGGCATGGCTTGGTTTCATTTGGTAAAATTAATAAAATAAATACCAGGGTCTTTTCATCTCCCCCCAAATAGTTGAGAAATTGTTCCAAATTCTTTGTTAGACTGTCCAATGTCATTATTTTAAAATGCCTGATAAACTTTAAAATGTTTTATACCCTTAAACATTTAAACATTCTCCAAAACCTGTTTTTTGCAGTATTAAAATAACCAGAGTGAAATCATAGAGCATAACCATAGTTTTTAGTCAAAACCAAATTTTATCAGAGACAAATTTTATTAGCAATACCAAGTGTATTATTTTGATGTTATAAACATCTTGTTGGCTGACAACAAGAAAAGTCCTTGTATACAAACACATGGAGGTGCAGCTCTAATATCTCATATAAACAGTTTCAAACCTTATTTTTTATAAACTTGGTTTTTAAGACAGGACAGAAATTATGTAAAATCTTAACATACTTAATAACTAATAATCAGTAGCCAAGACATACAGAATATAGTAAACTTATATATTGAAAACAGACAGACAAAACTTAGTTTTACTTCTTTTAGCTATAATTTCAAGGGAGGAACATCTTGCTAACTGTTGAATCCAATTTTGACCATAGAGGCTTGTAGCTTTCTTAACTGAGAAGCTGCTGTTGCCGCTTCAAGAGCTGCCTGTCTGCACAGAAGCCCAGGCAACCCAACTCAGGGGAAGACCTCTACCACCAGAGACCTGAGCATTGGCAGAGACCAGAGCATTGGCAGAGAGACCTGCCAGACCAGGGCTTCCCAGATATGGGCAAGTTAAGTCTAGGGAGTTAGAAGCAGTCTGTCCCATAGCATTCCTCACAGTCCAATACAAGACAGTGAGGACACACAAACACAGGGAATAAAACAGAAGCGCAGACACGAACAAAGTAGCTGCCCCGCGACCGAAACAGAAGTGAATCAAAAAGTTGGACTTACAGACTCCTGCCATGGAAACCAAAAGCAGCACAGAGAGGAGAGTAACTGATACGGTGCTCTCCATCCTCCACCCAAAATCTCTCCAACCGATGGTGTGATTCCTCGTAAACCTCAGGGCCAGGGATGTCTCCCCTGACTCCCACGACTGTGACTCTTGAGTGAGTTTGCTCCTAGCCACATCTTGCCGTTTGTACAGACACCTCAAGGCTTTTCAGAACCGACATGCAAGACACAGACATTACACAGAGACACTTACCAGTCGGCATAAGACCCCGACCTGGAGGTCTGGGGTATCCGGGACGAGTCCCCAAATGTTATGCCTAGGTCGCGTGGGTCGCAATCCCACCTGGCACAGCAGGTTGGAAGAGCAGCCGCCAGCTCCAAGGGAACAGGGTTTTTAAAGGGAAAAACCTCAAGCAGGGGCTTCCAAGACTTAGTGTTACATCATTGGACGAAAGGTAAAGGAATGAAATGCACCCTGACTTAGTTGATTAACAGCACCTGGCCAAACCACAGAGCGAAACAGCTTGCCAAGAGGAACACTGCGACCCTGGGAACAACTTATGTTGTCTTAACTGACCCTGTCTTTATCGGTCTGCCTCAGTTGCTGTGTCTCGCTGCAGGCTGCAGAGAGCATTCTGTGTTTTGTTTTTTTGTTTGTTTGTTTTTGTTTTTGTTTTCTCAGAACTTAAGGGTGGGAACCAAGGTACTCCAGGGACAAGCTAACCTTGGATGGAGTCTGAGAAACAACATAGAGTTAATGCTGCTAATTTAATCCTTACAGGCTCTGCCTCCTTTGACTGGGCTTTACTATCTTTCCATCTCTATTATTCTCAAAACCTCTGGGTTGACAATTTGTTACTGAGAAGGGAAAGGAAGGGATAGGTCACAGAAGAGGGAATGATTGTCCCTAGTGCCCCAGAACCGCGTTGTTCCGAGAGAGCACAAAGGCACAATTCAAAATTCAAATTCATTTTATTACCACCAGCCCTTGCCAACTAATGTAAGTAATAGCCTCTGGCCTGCCTCTGTCTTTAGTGGTTCTTCTACTTGATTGAATACTATAGCTATCTAGGACCTTTAAGGGGTAGTATTAAGCCCATTTCCAGAGATTCTGGTTTATTTTTTTGTATGGGGCCCAGAGCCTGGCATTTAAAAAGTTTAGATTGTTAATGTGCGATACCATATTTACCGGTCCTCTCCTATAGCACTTTATGACTTATTAAGTGTCTTCATCTACCCCGCAGTCTCCATGAATGCCTCGGGTCCTGCCTTGGAATACTCTGATGGATAAGGTCTAGGTGAGTCAGTTCTTTGGGTCATTGGAGGTGGGGGTACGGGAAACAGAAACAGAAGTTACAGAAAGGAGCCCTCCCTCATCTTTGTTCACAGATTGATCTTGGTGTTGATCAGGTCTCCAGTTCTTTCTGTATATCTTGCTTTGTTAAATCTCAGGTTCTTTTCTGCTTTTCTGTTTGTTTGTTTTTGAGACAGGTTTTTTTTTTTTTTTTTTTTTTTTTTTTTTTTTTTTGTTTTTTTTTACAAGGCTCTGGCTGTCCCAGCACTCCTTTTCTGTTTGTTTCTGAGACAGAATTTTTCTACAAAGCCCCACTCACTGACTGTGTAGGCCAGGCTAGCCTTGACCATACAAAGATCTGCCTGCTTCTGCCTCGTGAGTGCTGGGATGAAAGGTGTGTGCCACCATGCCTAGCTGTTTCTCAACATTTCTAACTTCAGTTTTTACTGTTAGATGTAACTTTTCATCTTTGTAGCTTTTATTTCCAGGTGAAAAATTATAACTTACAAATAAGGAAGGGGGTGAGGATGGGAGGGGGAGCTCAGTGGAAGTGATGGCTCTGAGCACTTTACTGTGATGTCTTTCCAGAGACAGATCTCTATAGACTCTCAAGCAGTATCTAGTTAGGGCTCTATGTCCAGTCTTTTCCTGGCATGACTGTCCATGAGTAAAGCCAGAAGAAGTCTCTGGCCACAAGGCGTGTCTTGCATTGCTGTCTGTAGCCTGTACTTTCACTAGCTTTGGAGTCTGTGTTCTGTCTGTATCACTGACCACTGCCTTGCTGCTCCTTCTGGGTTCTGAATCACACTAATGTGCTACTGTGAGTGGCTCCCATTTGTGCAATCGCAGGAGGCAGCTAAATTTCTGTGCCTCTTTGGTTGTACACTCTGAACACCATCAAGAAAACACATGACTTTTGTGGCTGGCTTCTTGAGAAGACTTTGTAATGGAATATGGGGGGGGGGGGTACAGGTGACTGGGCTATTTTTTTTTTTTTTGTTTTCATAGCTATTTCCCTCCCTGAATTTGTAGACACTTCAGGGTGGGTGAGTGCCTTGTTATGGGAGAACGGTGTTGAGGTCAGGCATGAAATGGTTAGGTTACTCTTGGCATTGTGTGAAGTTGTCTAGAATGGTGGATTTATTCCTTTTTTCCACCATATGTTTCCTCTCCCTTCCTTCCTTCTGAACCTGGGGCCATGCATTCTATGCTAGCACTCTGTAACTTATATCTTTAGCCCACATTTCTCTAACAAAGGAACTGACTCTCTCTAATATAAATATAAACTTTTAAAAGAGAATTTCTGGCCCACAGTACAGTTATAGGTAGACCTCTTTTTTTTTTGTGTGTGGATTGAATCAATATGTATTATGTGAAGAGCTAATACTGGGGGAGAATTGAAAAACATAATATATTAATCCAGGCATGGAGGTGGACACCTTTAATCCCAGCACCTGGGAAGCAGAGACAGCTGGATCTTTATGAGTTCTAGGTAAACCTGGTCTGCATAGTGAATTTTAGGCTAGCCAAGGCTACATAGTGCAACCATGTCTCAAATAACAACAGCAACAACACTTCCCCCCAAAAGAAAAGAAAAATATGGTATATGATTAAGTTGCTTTTGTTCTGATATATAGCTTTTTTTGATTTCCATTTATTTATTTATTTATTTCTAACATTTTATTTTATTTTTTTTTTCATTTTATTTTTTCTATGAGCATTGGTGTTTTGCCTGCATGTAAATCTGTGTTAGGATTTGAGATTCTGGAACTGGAGTTATAGACAGTTGTAAGCTGCCATGTGGGCGCTGGGAATTGAACCTTGGTCCTTTGGAAAAGCAGCCAGTAATCTTAACCACTGAGCCATTTCTCCAGCATCTCTCTATATATTTTAAAAGTATAGTCATATTTGGAAGAATGTAGTCGGAGAAATTATAAACACATACGAGTAATCGGCTAAGAAGTGAATATGTTGCTGTGGGAATTCTGAGAACAGGAGTGCATTCCTTCAGCTTAGTCTCGTCCTCATTCTGCAGCTGGGTCAGAGAAGGATTAACATGGTTCTTGTGGGATGGGAATGGTACAGCAGGTGGAGTAGAGGAGTGAGAACAAGGGGCTTCTAGGTCCAGCAGCAAACTGAAGGGAGTGATGACACAATTGAGCTATTCTAAGCTACTTTAAACTCTGATTATGCTCCCTTGCCATCGTTGATCTCCACCTACCTTCCAAGAAACCCTCACTGGTACCTCTCTGCTTACCTGTATCAAATATTGATTATATACTCATTGTGTGTTACTTTTGCTATATGACACTTAGACTCTATAGTTAGTTCTCAATTCATATGGACTATATAGCATAAATATTCTAATTTTTACATTCTCCCCTTCCCTTCTTCTCTTCTTCACCTCTCTGTCTGTCTGTCTCTCTCTCTGTGTGCATCTGCTGCTATGGCTCATTTGTGGAGGTCAGAGGACAACTTATAGAGTCAGTTTACTCCTTCTGCCTTGTGGCTCCTGGGGATCGTATTCAGGCTGTTGGGCTTGCCAGGAAGCACTTTTACCTTCCGAGTCATGGCCCCTTTTTACAGAGTTATCATTTCTAATAAACGAAAGGCCTAAAATTTCAAGGTAGCAACAAGCCTTGGCCTACACTAAACAATATGTCTTAACTGTTTCTAAATGTACACCCCTTTCTCTCGCCAAGGACTGTAGTAGTGTGTGTTGATTTCCAGCCAAAGGCTACTGGAGCGGTAGGTGGTGTAAACAAGCCTTTATCAGTGCTGGCACAGAGATTGGAACCACTATCAGTGTCGGTGCAGAGCTGGACCCTTCAGCTGGAGCTTACTCAGAAGCAGCAGAAACTGGAGTTGTGAAAATGGAATTCTTTCTGATCCTCCAAACAATAAGGAGAATGATTCTGATTGGGCTTTCCAGGGCAACATCAAAACGACAGAGGAAAAAAAAAGAACAGTAACAGTAGCCAGTGAAGCAAATATCCAATAAAAATAACAGACGAAGGTTGGTGAGGTGGCTCAGGGCACACACACAGATTTAAAAAATTAATTAAAAAATTAAATAATACATGATAACATGGATAATCAGGACTGCCCTCCCCTTCTAAATTCAGAAGATGTCAACTCAAGTCAGAATTTCAGGACATTACAAGAAATGAAGGTAAAAATGTATAAATAAACATTAACAAGGGTTTCAAAGCAGGCAAGGCCAAAATGCCGAAGGCCCAATATGTAGGCATACATAAAGGCAGAACCGGCTGAAAATATTTTCTTACTGAGGTATAAACAAAATTCATTTGCAGAGAGCAAAAGCAAAGGCCAAACAGACACTGAAATGTGATTCAAATTGTTTCTCAACAGGAACCTTCACCTCAAAGCACACCTTATCTGCCTTGAAAACAAAAGTAATTGCTTCCTTTGTACATGTCCTTTGCTGGAGAGAGAGAGAGAGAGAGAGAGAGAGAGAGAGAGAGAGAGAATATGACTACTCCTTTAAGACTTTTTCCAGAAGAGTTTAATAATTAAGTAAATTGCCTGACATATGCTTCTAGTTCCTACATGTCTGGGGTTTAAAACCGTAGTTTTCAATTTGTATCAAATTGTGTGCTTGACTTTTTTTTTTTTGTTTGTTTGTTTTACAGAAAGTAACAAAATGTCCTTACAGTAATAAAAAAAAAAAATCCATTCTTGAACCAGAAATTCCCATGGTATACAAGAAAAAAAATAGATTCTCTACAGAAATTACTATATAAGTGAATTTTTATATATACATATTTAGAGGGAAAGGGATCAGATCAAATGTTTCTTGTTTTTTTTTTCTTTTGGAAAAATTGGTGTATTATTCTGTCTACTTTTCTACAAAAATTAAGATGTGCAGATATCTGTTCCCTGATATAAAATGAGAAGTTACTGCAATTTTATAAATTTTATAAAAATAACATTATCAGCTGGGCATGATGGCCTTTAATTCAGCACTTGGGAGCCTTTAATCCCAGCCCAGAGGCAGGCAGATCTCTGTGAGTTTGAAGCAGCCTGGTGGTCTACAAAGTGAGTCCGGGATAGCCAGGGCTTGTTACACAGAGAAACCCTGTCTCAGGAAAAAAAAAAAAAAAGATACTATCTAGTGAGAACATAATTGAAGTCATAACTGATTTGCAACACCCCACTGCCCAAACCCAACAACATGAACAACATAAAACCAGCAGCTGGAGAGAACATCTGGAATCTGTTATGAGACTCCAGTCCTTTGCCCCTAAACATCTGTAACAAAGAAATCAAGACCTTGTACAAACACTTTGAACTGTCTCCCCCACATCTTCAGGGCAGGTGTCTTTCTTCCTATGCCTTGTCACTTTGCTGAAGGAGAACAGGACCACATATTGGGGAGCTGTAAACTGAAGGCTGTAGAGACTGTCTTTCTAGAGGGTCAGGATGGTTTACACACAGTGTTCTGGAGCTCTCTATAACAACATGAGGCCTCCTCCTCACACTCTTCACATATAATGTATATGGCAGTATTATATAATTTGAGCTATAAGGGGAGTGAGGTGATTTTACGTAGTTAGAACTCCAGAAATTTGGGCCTGGAGAAATGGGTCAGTGGTTAAGAGCACAGGCTGCTCGTTGGGGTGCGTGATGTGAAATTCACAAAGAATCAATAAAAATCTTTAAAAAATACTAGAATTTAATGTTTACTTTTATATTATAATTTCTGAAATTGAATTATCTGGAGATAAGGTATCTGTCATTGTGCCTAGACCCTTTGCTGTCTGCTCGTGACTTGACCTTGGATAAGGCTCATGAAAGGAAATGGATTTTTCTTTCTTTTGCAGTTGGTGAGACTTTGGCTTCTCTCTCTCTCTCTCTCTCTCTTTTTTTTAAGAAAAACATGCTTCTTGAATCACTGCCGTCTCTCCTCTACAGAACTCTTAAGCTTATTGGCAGAATAGAAGCAAATGAAACTGAGCGTTCATCCACAGCTCTGAGCAAAGGAAGACATGGGACTTTGAAGGTGAAAGGAGTACGGTGTCGGCCATGGGTCAGCAAGACACAGCCGGACAATGTGGACCAATTTCTTCAAACTACGAGTCTTCTGCTGTCTGTTTGCAGTGCTGATGGTGGTGGTGTTGGTCGTCAATGTCACGCAGGTAGAGGTGAGTGCTCGGGTCTGGGGACTTGTCCCTCAGTAGCCTGAGGTCATCGAGAAGCTTGTGCCAGCTGCATCTTTATGATGCTGCAGAATGTGTTTGAGCATGTCTAGCACTGATCCCACTGTGCTGAGGACACGGTGGTGAAGACAGGATTCCTCTCCTTATGGAGCTCACATTCTGAGTGTATGTGGGAGAAAATACAGAAAATACGTACCTGAAATGCTTGGATTAGATAGAGCCTGTCATAGTCAGGAGCTTTTTGTTTTATTTACAGAAGGAAGGTTCGTTTAGTTCTCTAATATAGAAAGTTTGGGATTCAGGAGATTTATTTGTTTGTTTATTTGTGTATTATTTATAGGCAGAGTCTTAATATGTATCCCTGGCTAGCCTAAAACTCAGAGATCTGCCTGCTCCTGTCTCTTGAGTGCTGGAATTGAAGCATGCAACCAGCATAGTTTTTACTGGTTGACTGTTCGTAATTCAGAAATCTTTTTTTTTCTTTATATTTAAAAAAATTATTTATTTTTTAAATTCACTTTATATCCTGGTTGTAGCTCCATCCCTCCTCCCCTCCCAGTCCCATCCTCCCTTTCTCCCCCTACCCCTCACCTTTCCCTCAAGAAGGGGAGCTCCCTTTCCCAACCACCCCAGTTCATCAAGTTGCATCAGGACTGAGCAGGTCCTCTTTCCCTGTGGCCTCTCAAGGCAGTCCTGCCAGAGAAAAGTGATCAAAAAGCTGGCAAGTGAGTCCTTGTCTGATGCAGTCCTCGCTTTCCTTACTAGGGAACCCACATGAAGCCTAAGCTGTCCATCTGCTAGGTCTTTGTAGGGAGACTGGGTCCAGGTTGGTGCTTCAGTCTCCGATAAATGCTCAAACATTTAACTTTGGACTTGAGAGCATTTCAGATTTCAGAGTATTGGATTAAGAATGTTGCCTACTGTGTTAGGTCTCCATTGTTTTATTTTATTCCTTATATGCCAGATGCTTCCTAAGGAGAGGCAAAAATGTTGTGCTTCTGGGTGGGAGTTGACATGGGGAGGAACTGGATGAAGTAGGGAGAGGGGAAACTGTAATCAGAATATACTGTATGCAAAAAAAAAGTTTTTATGTTTGTTTTTCAAAACAGGGTTTCCCTGGCTGTCCCAGAAGTCACTGTATAGACCAGGCTGGCCTTGAATTTACAGAGATTTGCCTGCTTCTGCCTCCCATGTGCTGGGGTTAAAGTGTGTGCCACCACTGCCCAGCCTGTTTTCAATAAAAGAAAAAAAAGCATGTTCCCTACAATCATAAGTAATAATCATAATTGCATGATGTAGACTGGCAGAGCTTGTGAAAGTGCTGAAAAGAAAGGAAGCTGGCGATTTCCCTTCCCCCCACTTAGCCACAACCAAAGGCTGGCCTCCAGCTGGCTACAGGCAGAACCCAGCTGGTCAGCTGGACCCCATTAACTCCATCTTTTGCATCCCATACCGTGAAACCATTGTTTCTAAGGCTTAGGCTACAGGGAATTGCTCTAACCCAAACTTGCAGCTAACACTGGGGTGGCATCAGTGGTGGCGTCAGAACAAAAGCTAAATCATCAGAAACACTTCTTTTTTTCCGTGGGGAACAAGCAGAGTGGGTACTTCATGACTGCTTTAGGGTAAGGAACACTGGGCTTTCCTGAAGAAGGGGATCATGTGGCCTGGCCACAGGCTGAAGGACAGTTTCAGGGGAGGAAGTTGATGAGTCTGTTTTGAATACAGCTGTATGGCTGAAGGGCAGAGAACATGTCTCCCGGAGACACTAAGAAGATAATTATTAGTAATCCCCTACAATCCCCTCTTTCCTACTCCTCTTATGGAGCAGTTTTCACAGGAAAGATGCTAGCTAGCCCTTTTATTTTGTTGCTTGTAGTGCTTTTTACGATGCAAGTCTTAACTAAGCAAGGCATTTCTTTGCTTATTCAGGTTACTAGCACAAGACTTTTTACAGGCAAGCCACAGGCTTTTTCATTTCTCCTGCTGGAAATTGCTTTGTGTTGTGTAGCAGAACATCTACTCTCACTATGAAGTGGACACAGAGTCCTCTAGGTTTTTTTGCAAGCCGTTGGGTACTTTGGAGAATACAAAGTAATTCTGTTCAAGATTACAACATAACGTCTAGAAATTGACTCCTTTCATTTCGTTACACTGTTCTTATGTTTTGCTGTAGAAAAGGCAATGTCAGCACCATATTGACAATGCCTTTCACCTGAGAGCTTTCTGTTATAAATATACATCTAGGTATTGTGATAAGAACATGGAACTTACAATACCTTTTTAGTCTTTTAAATAGATCGCAATCTCTCTCTCTCTCTGTGTATTTGTGATCACTGTTGGAGCATACTATTAGCACATATCCTTCACCTTTCTAAAGATGGAACATTAAAAAGGGGGAATCAAAGAGTGGAAGAGTTGTCCTCTGAAGGCTTCTGTACCAGCCCAAATGCTGTCAAGATATATTTCATAACAGTTTGCTGTTTCATCATTCAATCAGCAGAGATAACAGGCCTTCTTTCCATGATTAGTTCACTAGCCTGTGTTTATTTTTTTCCATTTCTGTAGGAAGCAAGACTCGCCAGGCTCACAGGGTGGTGGGGAAGAACCAAAGCCCATGTTTTCCTGACTGTGAGTCCCGTACTCTTTTACCATTGATGTCACTTTCTTTATTTAGGGCAAATAATCATCAAGAGATGTAGGCAACCTCATTGCTCAAATGTGAAAGCCGAAAATCAGTGGCTTGGAAACTTCTTGTTAATCTCTTCTTTACTTACATCTCCATCTTTCCCTATCTGTAGCTCATAGTTCCTTTCATCACATATTCTTTATCTTTTCATTTGAAAAAATGACAAGTTCTTTGCTCTCTGTGGCCCCAGTTTCTCCTCTGCCATCTTTGTCTGGTAACTTCTTCTCTTCCTTCAGACTGAACTTAAATGTTACTCTCTTGTGACTCTCAAGTTCTATTTTATATGTTCCCCTTGCTTCTGCTTTAGTTTGGATCTAAAATGGTTTCTAAATGCTCATTTGTTCAAGTACTAACCTAAATGCATAGGTACTCCATGGAAATGATAGACCTTGAGGATTCTGACCTCATATACAGAATGATCAGGTGACAGAGTCACAATTTGTAATTGGGAGGTGCTGGAAACTTTTGAAGGTGGGGCCTAACTAGAGATATTGCTCACAGGGGAAAGCCAACAAGACGTGTGTTTTGCTTCCTGCTTCTCACTGCCATGAGGTAAGTAGTCTTGCCATCCCATGGTGTACCCATTATGCTGCTTTGCCTTCCCACCAACCTGGACTGAAACCCCTGAAAGTGTGAGTTGATTTTCTCAGGTATTTTGTCCCTGTGACAGAAAGCTGACTGACAGAACTCCATGAGTTTCCACTGTAGCTTTCACGTCACCATGCAGGACTTGTGAACTGTGTTGCCAGATGTGTCTACTGATCCGTTGCCCCAGTCATCTGTAAGGAACATGGGATATCCCCCTAATTCCTAAACCCAAGACCAGCTCTCACTGAGTATGCTTAACAGGCAGGTACACTCTAGGTTACTGGAATCTCAGCCACTTCTGTGGGTTTTCTGTTATACTCCTTCATGGTTTCCTACTTAATACCTGTAGTTATTGGGGTTTAGAATCTGTACTAAGAAACATTTTATTTGTATCAAGAAGAGTCTCCCAGCAGCAATTTGCCCAATAAAGGCCTTGACCTTGGTTTTATGTTGCAACATAGTCTTCTTCATGTGCTTCTTAGTAACCCTTGGGCTTGCCTGTGTTGCTAGGAGGTTCCAGAGGGACAGGAAGTAGCTGTGCTCCCCACCAGATTACCTCATGCTTGGCTATAACATTGTTTTGTTGTGCTTTACCTTTGTTGGAATATTCAGGCTTTGCGATAGTAGGACAGCTGGACTTTGGTGGTACAGTCTTGGCTGTTGTCAATTCTGTTCTTACACTGACATCTAGCCATCTGGGTTTGGGATGATTATATCTCTAGGTTCTGATTTCTGGGTTTGTCTTTTTTTTTTTTAAGATTTATTTATTTATTATGTATACAGTGTTCTGCCTGCATGTACACCTGCATGCCAGGAGAGAGCACCAGATCTCATTATGGATGGTTGTTGGCTTTAATGTTATTTTATTCTGCCACCATGTGGTTTCTGGGAATTGAACTCAGGACCTTTGAAAGAGCAGCTAGTGCTCATAACCTCTTAGCCATCTCTCCATCCGGGTTTGTCTTTTTTAGATGGATATTTTTTCCTTGGTTTTTGGTTCCTCTTGTTCTAGTATAAGAATAGTTACACAAACCACTCAGACTCAGTTAGGTACAGATGATTTATTGGAACACCCTTTCCGAGCTGATCGATCAGGGCCACAGTAGGGACTCTGGAGCCTAACTGTGACACCTGCAAGTTCCCAAAGCAGGATTTTTATAGAAAGAAACAAATGCAAAAGACACAGGGAGGGCAGTAACACATTTTGGCTAACTAGACAAAGTATTATCAGATAACCTTTAAGCTGATTGGTCCTAAGTGAGGTAAGTGAGGCAGGGCTTAGGATCTTCTAGAGTACATCCACAGTGTAGCCAGGGGGTGTAGATAAGAAGGCTGCAACCAGAGTGTAGCCAAGTGAATAGATAATAAAACTCTTGAATCATAGTAAAAATCATAGTGGAAGTTCAGCTCAATCCTCTGGCCAGGTCTGCAAGTGCCAGCTATGAACAATTGCTTCCAGGAAGCAGGGTTAAAAAGTTTAAAAGTTTGAACCTAATTTCACCTTAGAAACAAAGTGGAAGCTGAGTACAAAGATGGCTGCAACTTTGTTTCAAATATCAGGCTACAACAATCTTTAGTCTTCTGGCCAGAGTGACCTGTGGTTGAGTACAGGGTCTTTGCTTGGGTTGGGGACCAGAGTTCTGGAGGCCAACAGTCCTCTGGTCTCACCTGGGGTCCTCCACTTGAGTTTGAGGTCTGGTGTTCTGGTGGCTGGCATTGCCTTCAGTAGAGCAGGAGGCTTCCACTGGAGTTCATGTGGTGTGTTTGTTAACAGTGATAAGCAGTGTGGATACATTACTAACCAATGTCCATTGTTTCCATCAGATTATATGCCTTTTTCAAATATTATTTTATTATTCTATATTACATGTGCAGAAGTTTTGTCTGTGTACCTTAGAAACCAGAAGGGAGTGATGGATCCCAGGGACTGGAGTAACAGATGGTTGTGAGCCACAGAGTGGGTACTGAGAATTGAACCTGAGTCTTCTGGAAGAGCAGCCAATGCTCTTGATTGTTGAGCCTTCTCTCCAGCCCAGGTTATATTCTCTGTTGTATAATTCTGTAGGTTTTGTCAAATGATGTGTTCATCATTAAGAGTATGATAAAGCGTTTCACTGACCTAAAAAAGGCCAGGTCTTTATATGTTTATTCTTCCTTTTCTCTCTTGTACACCAGAGGACCTGTCTTTTGTTGTCTTGATAACGTTCATTTTCCAGAGTGTTGTGAAGTTGGAATAATGCAGTGTGTGTAGTCTTTCAGATTATTTTTCCCCCCTTTAAATAATTTAGCATGGCTACTCTATCATCTTTTTGCTTTCATTATTTCTGATGACATTTCTTTTGCTTTTCCTGAAATGACATATGTTTGTTAGAGTTTTAGTGGCCAGGAGTTCAAGCTCAAGGTACCAGCCGATTCAGGGCCAGATGAGATTCCCCTTTCTAACTTGCAGTGGGCCAACTTCTCACTGTCCACACTGGGGAGACAGACCCTCCTTCTCCTACTCTATTTCCTCTTCATTCTTCTCCTCTTCTTTTTTAAAGATAGACTCACACTGTAACCCCAGAGAGGTTGGAGCACCCATCAATCCTCCTACTCCACCCCCCAGAATTCTGGGATTCAAAGCATGGGCCACCATGCCCAGGTTTTTCTCCATTTTTTGCAAAGCCACTGATGCCATTTTGAGAGTCTGTCCACATAAACTAATTTAACCCCAACTGCCTTCCAAAAGACTCATCTGTCTCTTTGACTCGGCAGTTCCACCCTTTTCCTTCTTGTGCTGCAGCCTGGAGCCTCTCACAGGAGTAAAGGAAAGGTAACCATACTTCATCACCACACTTCTTTACAGTCTCATGTCCGAAGTCTGGAAAAGCCGTGATTTAGTAAATTTGGGCTTTCTTGTTTAAAGTTGCTTCAAATGGGAGGCTCAGTCTGTTAACTATTTCTAATAGCCTATTTGGAGACGGAAGTCCAAGAGACTTCAGTTTGAGTGGGGAAGAAATCATGCTTACTGGAGAAGAGGAAAAGGCAATATGGAACACACATTGGAGCGCAGGACCCAGGGTGGGAAGGTATGCACATCCGTGTCCGTGTGCTTGTTGTCTTATTACTAGTGCTGTGGCAGGGGCTGTATGCCTTCCTCTCACAGAAGAGGGCAAGAGGCTGTGATGGAGACAGAGGTCTGCGCTTCTGAAGAGTGGGGTGTTAGGGGATTCTCGCTTGTGCAGCAGGTAAAGGGTGGAAAGGTGGAAGGAAGATAGAATCCAGAAAATTTGTGTGTGGGAGACTGAAAGGACTGTGGGATGGAGCCCACATTGCAGGACTACAGGGAGGAACAGATTTTAAAGCCTTAATGTAGCACCCAGCATGAGCAGAATAGTAGGAAAACGGATCAGTCTCTAGCTCTTGGACAGGTGAAGAAGAAAGGAGAGGGAGGGAGGGAAAGAGGAGACAGGCAGGCAAGTAGACTGTTAAGGTTATTATAGGTGGTGGTGGGGGAGATGTTAGGGAAGTCCCTTTTAGTCCTGTTGCATTCTTGGAAAATTCTGGACTGAATGCTAGTTAGAAACTCTAATCTTCTGAATGATAGCCCAGAATGATAATGAAGAAGGGAAGTAGGAGTAATCAGAGATGAAAGACAATTCTCATCCTGGAAACAATAAGTGAGTCTTTAGTGGAGTGGGGTAAACTGATTTCTATTGAAAGGAGAGCTCACAGGGTCTAGGACAGAGAACTGCTGTGAATCAAATGCTTCTGTTTATTGCGATGAGTGTGGGGTGGCAGGTAAAGGCGCTGAAGCTTGGCAGTCTCCCAACCTTAAGCCCATTTCCATCCTGTGTTTCTGACCCTGACTATGTTCTTCATGAAGTTAACACATTTGATAACTACCTAAAATGTACAGGCTCAATTTTAATTAAAAAGAAAATATGAGGTGGCATATGCAGAGTACCTAGGGTGCAAGAGGACTAGGTGGTGGTGGCACACGCCTTTAACCTTGGTACCCAGGAAGCAGTGGCTGGCAGATCTCTGTGAGTTCAAGGCCAACCTGGTCTACATAGTGAGTTCCAGGTCAGCCAAAGCTACACACACACACTCACATACATCCACAGAGTGCAGGGAGACTTATTTCTCTGAAAAATACATATGAGCATGGCCTTATTTATAGATATTTCATGTATTTTTTGCAGTATAATTATAAAGAATTATATTTTTCTTATGGCATTCTTCAAATGATTAGGTTGTTTCTTTCATTCTTTCTCCATCCCCACACTGTTGGTTGGTCCCTCACTCCCTACTAGGCTTCCATCTGCTTTCATGTCCCTAGAACCTCCTGCTCTCTTATAGTTTCATAGTCTGGACCACACTCACAACCCCTTATTTGCATACATGCAATTACTGAAAGTTAGGACCCACTTATGAGTGAGAATATGTGAGTTTTTTTCTTTCTGAGACTGGGTTACCTCACTTGATACAACGTATTCCAGTTGCTTTCACTTTCAACAAATTTCTTTCTTCTTCCTTCCTTCCTTCCTTCCTTCCTTCCTTCCTTCCTTCCTTCCTTCCTTCCTTCCT